TGACGTTGAGATCCAACGATTTGATTTTTTTTTTTTTGTTCAATTTTAATTTCGATCCGGGTTTGACCCGGCTCGCCAGGTTTCGCAACGGTCGGCCAACGGTTTAATTTTTAAATCTGATCGTTAGACCATCTTGACAGTTGAGATCGAACGATCAAGATCTGACTGACCCACCTGACCTGCCGGGCCGACCCGGACCGACGGGTCATATAAATAGAAAAAATTGAAAAAATTGGAATAAAAGTAAAAAAAAAAATCTATAAATACCCCCCACCCTCCCAAATCAGATTTTTCACACCTTTCACACCATCTTCCCATCTTCCGCTCTTCTCTACTCTTTTCTAAGCTCTAGAAACTTGAGTGCTAATTTTTTAGATTTTATGCTCGGGTTTCTATAAATCGGTCTGATTCTATACGAATTCGGTCCCGAACTCCAGATTCTATATATTCACTCTCATTTCGGTTTTTGATTATATAAATTCTTTACATAATATTCTCTCTTTTCTAATTCTATCATTTTTCACATCTCTTTTTTATTTTATAAAAACTATTCTAGTTACAAAATGTCTAGTTCTCGTGGTGGTGGTCGTGCCAGTGATCCGCCACCACAAAAGCGTTAAAATGTACGAGAATCATCTTCGAGTAGATATCCATCGCCTACGTCGTGACAAACAGTATACAAGGACGTTCCGAATCTTCTCGATGACGTTGAGCCCGAGACGGTTTAACACATATCTCACCCTATTGAGTACATCTATGAGAGCATACAATTGAAGGGGGAGAAAAAAGAGCAACCGTACAAAGACGAGTTCGATCCTATCAAGGTGGAGGAACTCAACAACCTCAACGTCAACGGTCCACTCGGACGGCCAACGGAGGTCCGACGAGATCCAAAATATTCAGGCGCTACTTCATAAAGGTGCTCAACATGGAAGATTTGAGCGTCGAGAAAGAGTTGAAGATCCCACCGCATGTTGCGGTGGATTTTGAAGGAGACGTTCTTCAGCTCTCTCGTCTCCATGCAGTGGATTTTGAAGGATACCTTTCTTCAGCTCTCTCGTCTCCGACTATGGAATCCGATCTTACTAGTTTTCTCGATGGCACTCACGGCGAAGGTTGGTCGTCATTTGTCAAACCAATCAACTCCCCATTAAACCCGCTATTCCTATAAGGAAAATTTTAATAATAATTAAGTAAACACTTTAGTATGTTTGCAAATAAATATGATAATTTTAGCTATTTTACAAATAAATATATATGGACTAAATGAGTAATAAAAAGGCTATTTTGTAGTGATCATTAATTTCCTCTTTACAATATAAGCCACAATAAAGCAATTGGGCCGGGAATAAACCCAACACATATTTTACTGACAATTGGAGCCCAATACACGTTGCTATCAGTGCACACTTCCATTCTTTTACAAAATTGTAATACAAAATTGCATACTTTCACCATGTAGAAAGTTTATTTAAAAAAAAAAAAAAACCAATTTCATCAGATACATCCCCCTATCTATTAATCAAGAACGCGCTGAGCCTGCGTGGCTGTTTCTGGTGCTTCGAAATCCTATGTGGCAAAATTACATGCTTCGTTATTAGGCTTAAATAAATTTTAATTTAATTCCAAACCAAAAATAATTAGGTTCGGATTACCATAAATATGTTGATTATTTATGGTCATGTTACATGTATTAATTACATTTTAATATCATTTCTTATTATAACTATTGAATTGAATATATATTTTAAAAGTTAATAACTTTTGTATTTTTTATCAATTTTACATATGTAATATATCAAATTAATCTTCTTTTGATGAGCTTCGATTTAACATCCATATTGTATGTATAACAAAAATAATTTATATTTATCTTTATAACAATATTAAAATTATTTTTAATATTAACTAGAAAAATAAAATTATTTATCAACTAATATATTTATATTTCAAGTAGTTAATGATATAAGTTATAAAAACTAATATAATATAACACATGTAAGTCATAAGTAACACATATCATTCTAAAATATATAGTAATATTTTTTTTTTTTGTAAAAAAATAAAATAAATTTAATATAGTTTTCTCATTAATTTTAAAATTTAAAAATAGTTTTTTAACAAGCACTCGTGTAATACACGGTGTTGTATTAGTTTTATTTATAGTACCATAGCCGAAAGGTAATGGGTACCATTACCACATACACCACAACATACGTACTTAATTAGGGAATATATATTTTAACAATAATTATTATTGAATCTTAATCAAACCAATTGATAGTCCCAATTTCCTTTCCTGCCCCTTGTGGAACATCTTCAATCACCTTCTCTTGGCCCTTAGGGTAAAAAAGTCCGGTCCGGTCGTCCCGGACCCACCAAGTGGCTTCACCGGACGATGGCCTCGTCTGCTTCACTTCTTCTCCGTTAACTTTAACGGTGTCACTTAGCGTATCCGGTGACCCCGGTGACCCACTTTTTCTATGGTATGCTTTTCTCAACATTGGCCTGGGGATTAAATTGGTCAGAAATATTTATCTAAAGAAAAAAAGAAAAATCGGAAGGGTGAATTAGTAATTTACAAGATATACATGCATGATTATTCATTCCACCAAGTGTTATGTTAGATTTTATTGTTAGATTATATAATAGACCTATTTTTAACTTGAGTTAGATGTGATTAGCACTTCATTTATAAATATAAATGTGGCTTGGGCTTGCATGGAGTTGGATGAATTGACTAACCTATATACAAATAATCGGGAGATGCTACGGTCCCGTTACGGAACCATTCAGTGGAGATTTGTAACCGTTAGATCAACTTACATAATGATCTAACGGTTACAGGCCCGACGAAATGGTTTCGTAACGGGACTGTAGCATTTATCCAAACATTAATTATATTGTGAAATAGTTAAAAACTTACTTGAAATACATAGAATTCATGGTTTGTGCCCCTCTACCAGCTGCTGTGGATGCCATTTTTGTTCTCTTTCTCCTATAACTCGAATCAATAATAATATGTTATTCCTGAGAACAAATATTGAACAAATTTATGTTAAGAACCTTACATATTTATAGTGAATTAGTTATCAAATAAATTATATATTAATTTTAGTTTCCCAAGAAAATTATATAAATAAAGTTGAGGATCATGTTTGGCTAAGGACCATAAACACCATATCTCAAATCAGTTGAGTTCCATGCTGATGGGAAGGGGTTGACTAGTGAATACGGTAGAAGTTTTGTCAGAGAAAGACGACAAAATTTAGGTATGGGCTTTAATTAATGGGTTGGATATGGCCTTCCCCAGTTGCAATTTATAATGGGCCTGTTGTGCCATCCCCAAATTTAAGAAATATACATCACATATATTTTTTGCTCTTGTTGAAGACTTTTTAAGTGCATTAAAAGAATGTATTTCTTTTGATTCAAAAGGTGTTCCTTGTGTTATCCTAGTTTTCTAGCGTTATTGCATTGGATTGGAAATCCCTTAAAAAAAAAAAAAAATATTATATTACAATAGGAATTCCTACGGCAATATATTTTAATGGAAATTTCAACGGATATTTCAATTGTATAGCTTCTATTGAAATGACTGTTTTTTTTCCAACGGTTTTTTGCAGTAGGAATTTCTTTCTGAATGTGCAATTTTCCTTGGAATTTTAGATGGAATTTAGTGATCTCAATGGCTGTTTTTTCCAACCGTTTTTTACCGTTGGAATATGCAATTTCTTTTGAAATTTTCATTTCCACCCCGTTAGAAAATCTACTGTTGGAATCGTCAAAATCCAACAGAAAACTCATTCCAACAGATATTTTTGTTGGAATTTTGTCGAAATTTGTTAAAAAACTTCAACGAATATAATAGCATTGGAATATCCATTGGAATTTTCCATTCGAATTTCATTATTTTCTAGTAGTGAATCTTAAAATGTATTTTCGATTATATTAGTTTTGCACTTGAAAGTTCCTCTATCTTATTGCTATGGAATAAATTATGACAAATGTCAAGTTTATAATTAACAATATAAAAAGATGTTAAGTTTATAGTTATGAAATTAAAAAATTCTTTCAAATGCACAATGTAGTCTAACTAAAATATTATCTACTTACTAACTATTAAAAAACTTTAAAAGAAGAAATAAAATTAAATAAATAAATAATTAGATAATTTGGAATTAGTAAGAAATTAAGAATAATTTTCTCTCCTATTTGTTAGAAATATAGAGTGTAGAGAAGAACGTAAATGAACCATATTCTTTTCTACATTGTAAATGTCAATTATGTTCACATCATCACAACAATATTTGTGATCATATAGTATATTGGAGGATGAAAAACTGTGGATTTACTAAATGTGTTTATCTAGAATGAAATTAATTACAACATTTGAGCATTGGAAATATTTTTATGTCGTCTCATGATGCAGAAGGGCAGATTATAATCTGTCGATATATATTTATATTATATTGATATGTAAAAAAAGTTTAAATATTTACCTTAAATAATAAGGAAAATCGTGCCTAAAATTTTTATTTTCAGTATATGTGGATTTTGCTGGAAAAAAAAAATCGAATTATCCCGGCTTTTACAAATTGATGTTAGTTTGAAATTCAAATTTTTGTAATATATTTACGTGATATAATCTAAGTTAGTAATTAAGATTTTCAAAGATTCACAATTATTTATCTTTTAACTACCGACTTTTACTAATAATGACTCTTTTTTTTTCTCTTATAACATAAATTATTATAAATTATAAAAAATAAGTTGTAAAAACTAAATTTATAATTTATAATATTTATAACATACATTATTATAAATTATAAAAAAAATAAATTTATTTTTTTCATATGCCTAATTAAAAATTAGTAGTTTTTATAACTTTAAAATAATATACACTATATTCTTCTTGTATTAATTATTATATTATATTAATTTTTATAATTTTTCAACTTTATCATATTTATTTGGAAATCGAAATAATATATTGTAATAACGAAAAAAGTAAGAAAAAATGATAAAAATAAATTTTGTGAGTATTATTTATTGATGATTAATTTGTATGCTTTAGTTTATACGATTTATCATTATTATTTATCCCGTATACCACACTAACAAGTGGTGTATTTGTCAATTTGATTGAGCTTTCGGATGTGGCATTCATATGCAGAATATTCATTGCACTTCTTTAAATGAAATAAAATAAATGACAGCGTGTCGCAACGCGGCAAAATTAATATTTATATTTTTCCTCGACAAACCTCTACTAACTAGTAGTAGTGGTAAGTAAGGGTCGATCCCACGAGGAGTGTGAACTAAATTGTGATATTCTTGTATTAATTGAATTTATTATGAAAGCAATAAAAGGAGGGATTTTGAATTAATAACTAATCTATCCAAGAATGAAATCAAAACAATAAAAAATAAAAATAAAATAAAATAAATAAGAGAAATTTATAGTTCACGGTTCCGTCTACACCCTCGACTGACTTGTCTAATCAATTTTAGTATCAAATCTCGTCATCTTATGAAATTACTAAATAATCAACCACGAAAATTAATCAAACATCATCAAGTCGCAGGGTTCAACTTCCCCGAAACTAGAAATAAAAATTACTCCAACATAATAAATAATAAAAGAAAAGGAATAGAATTATCCCTTTTCGTGTGCAAGTGCGGTTTCCCTCCGCGATTAATCGGGTTCCCCGTATTTCCTCCTCTCTGCGTGTGCTTCTTTGTTCTCTGTTTTTCGTGGCTTCTTTTCTTCTTAGGGTCTGCGTGCTTTTTTTTTTTTTCCAGCTGCCTGGCTGCGTGGTTAATTCCCCTGGGTGTGTTAAATATATATCATAAGTTCTTTCCAAATAATTTCCAAGACAAATCCTAAGTTGATGCTTGCAAATAATTCCAACAACCACGTGTATGGGCTCTTGCGTGAAAGTCCAATTCCCACATTAAGTTGATAGCCTGAATTTGCTTAATTCTTTAATTGGGTCTTTAATTTCTTGATTAGTGAATATGGGCCTGAAGTGGGTTGGTATAAGGCTCCCCGTATTGGCCTACTCAATTCTCGTTCGGTTCCATACCGCCAATAAAAATGCTCAAATATCCTGAAAATAAACCATAAATATGCATAGTACTTAAGTCCATTTAATAAATAAATAAGTCGAAAAATATATAAGTGCGACAAATTAAGCATATAAAAATACACTAATAAATATATAATATACACACTTTTTCCTACCAATCAATAAACTAGTACAACTCCCGTATATTACACGGGTGTTTGCTAATTTTTTTATTAAAATCTAAAATTAATGAGAAAAAGTAGTTAAAAATTTAAATACCTTTTATAAATATATATTATTATATATTTAGTATGACACTTTTTATTTGTGCGACTTACATGTATTATATTATAATAATTTTTTTAACTTACACCATATAACTACATTATACATAAATATATCAATTAAGAAATAATTTTATTTTTTCTAATGAATTTTAATAAATATTATTATTTTTTATTATTATAAAGATAAATATAATTTATATATTTCATATATACAATATGAATGTCAAATCGAAGATCATCAAAAGATGATTAATTTGATATATGTAAAACCGATAAGAAACACAAAAGTTATCAACTTTTAAAATACATTTACAATTCAGTAGCTAGTTGAAGGAAACAAATAAAAAATCATCGATATATTAGTCACTTGGTGCCTCACTATGTAAAATTACAAAGAATTAAAGGGTTATATTAATACAAGTGATATTAGAATACCTAAGTTAGTTAAATAATATTTATGGAATGTCCGAACCTAGATTATTAATTATTAACATATCAATATTATTTGTCCAAACCTAATTACGAAACATGATTCTTTGCCAAGTAAGATTTCAAAGCACCAGAAGCAGTCACGTAGGCTCAGCGCATTCGGAAATTATATAAAGGAAATTATATAAAGGGAGAAAGTAGCCTTATCCTTATTTTTACATGGCCTGTGGACTAAAAAGAACTCCATACAATCATCTACTTATCCACTGCTCTAAACAACCTCTTCTTTTGCACCCACTCCCTCATCTTTTTTAGTTTGCTGATCTGCATTATTATTTATTATTGCCATTTTTTTTAAAAAAAAAATTGTGCGAATGAAATACTTTTACTTGTGAATATTATTACTATCATCAAAATTTGTTATTATATAATTTTGAATTCACAAATAAATGATAATTGATGTAGAAAGAAAATATTAAAGCATATAAATTTCCTTCAAATCAATTTTACAATAACAACTAATAGTACCAACAATTTTCGGAAAAANNNNAAAAAAAAAAAAAAAAACTAATTTCATATATTGATCAAAACAGCTAACACAATTCTCTATACCTTTGCACCGAATCACGGTTCAAATATGTCAGAAGTTCCCTAATATCATCAAACACTTCGAGAATAGAATCAATCGCCTCCGACTTAGTATGAATCCGAAGGAAAATGTAAATTATATCGAATAGCCAAATATTCCACTAATAAAAGAGAAAATGTAAATTGTATCAAATCGCCTTCGAGTTATTTATTTTATATAATATTTATATTTAGATTTTATTTTTCAATTCAACTCATTCCCAATATTCCATTTTATGACTTCACCCCCTCAAATAAGACATACAAGGGCAATTTTTTTCGCCATTGTCAATGATAAAAAAAGAAAAAAAGGAATAGTAAGGACACTTTTCTAGCCATAATGCAGGTGTAAGATGACCATTTTGCAGATATTGTTACAGTGATTAAAATCAAGTATAGCACAAAGTGTGTTTCTTGCTTTTGGACAGCAGTATTGGGGGAAAAAAAAAAAAGGGGTGTCTGATATGCTATAAGATCCGTTCGAAGTATCTAGAAACTTGCTTCCTCTGTAGTCGGTCTCCTCAAGTAGTATCGCAAACTATTTGCAAGAACCTGCCGTTTTTTGTTCATGAAATCAAACGAATAACATGTTAGAACAGGAGAGCCAAACAGTACTTTGACGAGTTGATGTAAGTAAACAATAAAGTTTGTAAATTTCTCAAAAAACAGGCGGCACTAATATATATACCTGTTGAAGAGGTTTGATGATGGCTTTACCTCTGTAGCTTACATGGAATTTCGCCTTAGCCAGCAAGCCCTACAAGAAAAAAATGTAGCATTCACAAGTTAAGAGATTTAGTCACACTAACTAGCTAGCACAAAAAAAAGGAATTATTTCCCATAATTTCGTATGCCCCATCGATGTTGAGAACCTTAGGGGTAGTTTTGGTAATTATGATAATGACATCAAACAAATAGAATGTCGCCTTTGTAACGAATTTTACCTCGGTATCAAACTCGCCAGATTTAACAGTAATATTTATGTCGGTTATGATCTTCACGAGATCCACCAGTAAACCTGGACGATCGGCTGTCTCCACTGAGAGCAAGCTGCAATGATGCAAAATAGTATCATTTCACGTTTTAGCTTCAAAGTCGAGATGAGCATATCAATTTTTAGCGCGAGATACCAAATTGACCAGATAATCGGCTCTTTACCTTTGCTCTGGACCATCATCATAAACACGAATATGTGTTGCTATATCCACATCAACCTGCAGAATGAGTGAACAAAAATGTATAAGCAAATAACTATTAATTAACTAGAAAAATAAACCTATCTTTGATAATTGTCAAGGAAGCTTATGCTTACTAAAAATTGGCAGACTTGCCAGTAACTGGGGTCAGTATCATAATTAAAAAATATAGAAAATTAAAAAATAAATATGTTGTTTGCCGATAAATTTACAAGTTCAAATAAGTTCTGCTAGCCCGAAAGTAAATACCTTTTCACTTGGTGGTGTCACACCAAATGCTGCCCCCATTGCTAACTGAGCACTTGACTCCTGAAAAGTTTCAACTCCGGATCTTTAAGACAGATAAAACATAAAAAAGGTATGATATCCCAATACTACATTAATCGATACCGGATGATACTCAAGCATGTTGTTGATAATTGTCAAACGAATGGCCTCGAGCAACTCTGGTTCATCAACTTTCCTTCCTGTTGAACTGTATACAGGTCGTCCATGCACTTCTAAAGTGATTATTTATAGATTATACTTTATATGATGCGACTGATACATAAAAGATGAATTCGACTTGGAATTCATGAAAATATGTGTTATGAATAGTTCGTATATGACGGCATGGCCTCAAAATAACTGGTCCAGAGTTTCGGATTTGACGAGTCTTATAATAAGTTTCTCCTGATTTAGACAAGTTGAAAAAGCTAAGGAAAGAGAAATTCTGAATTTATGCCTCTAATCTAACATTTACAATAATTTATTACGACTCCAAAAATATTGATCGATAGACTTCAACTTATATTGATAACATGTCAAACAGAATAGCTAAAATTAGCAATGTGCTCGGAAAGGAAAAAAATCAACATGGACTTACGCTTTAGTTATAGCAAACTTGTTGTGTTTGCCAGAAGAATCGAGATACACATTTGCCTTAACGACGTTCAGCCCGAGATTTTTTAAAGCATTCATCTGAAAATTGAAATGCATTTAATATTCTGCTATAAATGGAAATTAACAGAATCTTTCACAATCCTAGGATTTGAAGTACAAATAAATTAAAAAAATATATATATAAGGAGAGCCAGATATGAGTGTATTAGTATTAGGATCCTGGAAAATATTTGTCTTACTGTGTCTACAAGAGCCCCAAGACGATCCCCGAAGGTGATCCCAACAATGGTGGCATTTGGATCTGAATCCTGATCGATTATAACTTTAGGTGTGGGGACCACATCAGTCTCCTGAGAACTCCCATCCTGTTTTGACAGCTCCAAATTAATCAATTCTAATGTCATCAACATTCAAATTACGAGTCCTTCAAATTACTAGGAATATGAGTTTCACAGTTTCGACTTAGTACATGCTATTCAGAGTTTAAGAGCAACAAAAAAATGTTTCACACAATTACCCAAAATAAAAATGAGATACTCATCTTGCAGGCTGAAATATAGCTTTTAATAATTTTTGAAAAACACCAGCTTTGGCTTCTGATTCAGTATTCAGGCTCGAAAAGCAAGAAAATAAGTCATTTAGATTTTTTTTTAATCATTCTTCAAGTTTGAATTCTTTGTATAAAGAAACAAGGACTTCAACAACTTTTCTCCAAATGTCTGAATAATTAATGCAACTTCTGATTTCTACATGCAAAGCATCCCAATTTTAGCCTTTGTAAGTAACAAATGTTTTTGAGCTGAAATAGGAAACATTAATTGATGTTTGATACCTCCACCGCAGTAGCCGGTGATGCTTTCGGTATGAATCGACTCGTGGCCGATGATAAGCTGACACAATACCAAAAGCACAACAACATAAAAGGCGACGACATCCATGTAATTTTCACGTTAAGGCCATAAAAGCTAAAGAACTAGATGCTTTAATAATAGTAGAGAGGACAAAATTAGCAAAATTGTACTTCAATATTCCAATGGTCGGACTGTATTTATAACGGCCCAATCTAATGTCATCCTTCAGATAAGCAGCACGATCGCTGTCCGCCAGAGAGTTAACCATTCATGGCCATCGGATACTTGTTTTTCAATTCACATGGTTCATTACAAGGAATCCATAGCACTAGTTAATAAAATCTTGCGCAATCGCTTGTAACATGCCCGAGTTCACTCATTTCACAAGCTCATAGGCAACAGGTTTCGAATATTGTTTAGAACATTATAAATGAAGCTAATCAAACATATTACACATGCTGACAGAGGGTAACATTAGCATGAGAAAACTCACATTATGGACAACCCATGCCTTGAATCAAATTGCACAAACCTCAGAAAATAAAAAAGATTGGTGACAGTTATAAGAAAACTTTGTATGTGTTCTATAGACACACATCACTATATGCATACATCTATCTTACCTATAAAAATGAACTGCAGCTACTTCTGGTGTGAGAATTGCAAATCTAATTGATAACATCTTGAAGCTAACAATTTTACCCAAAATGGGTTACCTTTTTCTGGAGGCAATGCAAGATAGCTGAACTGATTCAAAGCCAAAAGAGCATATGAAAGGAGCAGCCTTTGAATAGGACTGCTTCTCAATACCCTTCAAACTGCTACAGAGCCCAAAATTACTCCCAATAGAAGCCATAGCCACAGCCATGTCTTTAATTCCAAATATGTATATAAAAAAAAAAATATTATCTGTTGTTGCCCACAACAGAAAATTAATAAAATAAACTATGAACTTATTAAAAAAAATAAAAAAAGGTTGAATCTTTATCAAAAGGGATTCTTTTTCAACCCAATAAGATCCCGATTAAGCATGAATAGAGGAAAAAAAAAATTGAAGAAAAATAGGGAAAACGACGGGGTGGGGCAGATATTTGTGGCCTCAAGAAAATGATCAGGCGCAGTAATTGTAGTTGTGGCTGATGATGATGATGATGTTATAGTAGAATCCGCCATTTCCCATGAACCCCAACTCTAAGCTTGTCTTTATACTGTGCTGTCCACGCGATATATATTTATTTATATATATCGTTCGATAATACCACGTTCGATAATTCTTACAGAAGGGATAGAATGGATTTATGGGCCTCTCTTGTCTCTTTATTTTCTTTTTTATTCTGGAGATCCAACGGCTCCCTGTGTTTACCGTCCATCTCATCTTTTATCTTCTCTGGGTAATAACAGTGACATTACTGGTTCCAATTTGATATCCGTTTGTATTTATTGGGAGTCCCCACCTTTAGCCAAACGCAAATCATTGAGCTTTTGCGCGTTTAACTAATTTCTGTTCTTATTTTTCAGGAATAAAGAGTGGAAAGAAAAGAAAGAATGCAGAAAAAAGGTGAAGAAATGGAAAGGATAAAAGATGTTTAAATTGCAAATTTGGTCCCGTTAGATGGGGGCGGATGCAATTTTAGTTTTACGGTCGCAATTTTGGTTCTGAGGGTTAACGGTGACTTTATGGTCTGTTAGATTTGAGATCAAATATGGAACAAAAATTAATTAAGGACTAAAATTGCGCCTCGAGACTAAAATTGAAACCGTCCCAATCTAACGGGACCCAATTTGCAATTTTATGGTCATCTTGTTTTGTTTGGCTATGTATGGCTCATATATTAATTTTCGGACTCCAAAATCCTAAGGCCCGAGAAGCTTACCCAAAACGGGCTAGGATCCAGTAAGTTAAGCCCATGAAATTTCATGCGTATGGAGTCAAGATAATAAAGCCCATTAAAATGCAAAATAGAAAAAAAGTATAAAATTGAAAACCCAGAAAAAACGCAGAGATTCTGGAAAAATAAAAAGAACGATAGAAATCGAGAAAATGGCGAAGTCTTGCAAAGGTTTGGCTATGGAACTCGTGAAATGCTTGAGCGAATCTGACTGTGTTAAGGTATACGCATGAAATTATATTGATTTTTTATTTTTTTCCTTTAATTCTGATTTTTTGTTTCGAGATTTTGAGCTCTTTTTTGTGCGGAAATTATATTGCACGGACACCTCGAGCACGATTTTCTTTTGAAACTACCTTTTGTTGTTCGGGTTTTCCCATGGTATCTAATATCCATGGCTGATTGAAAAATATTCTAGGTTGAAAACAGGCCGTACAGAGAATGTGCAAAAGAGAAGAGCCCCAAAATTTCAAGCGAGTGTGTGGGGCTTAGAGAAACATATTTCAACTGTAAAAGAGGACAGGTACCTCATTTTAGGAAAATGTTAAGGTCCCGTTACGGAACCATGTTGTCGGGATTTGTAACCGTTAGATCATCATGTAACCGTTAGAGATAGTTGATCGGTTACAACCTCCGACGGAATGGTTCCGTTACGGGACCGTAGCATCTCCCCCTCATTTTATTTTCCTTCAAATGTTATCTGCATTTATCTGGTTTCATGATTTTAAATGATGAAGTAAAACGGAATCATCATTACTTGTTTAATGGGAAGAAACTTTGCTGTGTAGGCTCTTAAAATGGATTACATTATCGTGACTATATTCGTTCGTTACAATATCTGCAGTCTCTTGGGGTTATGTGATCTTTGAAGTGGAACATGTAATATAATTGGTTTAAGCAATGGAATTACAGGAAGTAGATATCTTAATCTCATTCCCTTTGTTTCAAGAACATTAAAGTAGTTATTTGGTGTTAAACTGTTATCTTAATCTGAATGTCAAACTCAGTTAAAGGTTATTGCTTTTTGGACTTAAATAATGTTTACAACTCTGACTACAGATACTGCTCTCGTCTTTTCAATTTGTAAACAATGTTTTTGACATATTTGTGCGGCTCATGCATTTCTGGTTTTGTACAATTCGTCGGGAGAACATTATGTGCGCTTATTTCATGATTCGCACTATTTTTTAAATATATGTTTTGCAGTAGGAAATAAGTGAACTTTTTTTCTCTTTCCCAGCCTTTTATATATTTTCCCGAACAAATAGTTTATTGTAGAGGTGTCCATACTCTAGCTTTGTGTTCCTATTAAAGATGTCAGGCGTAAAACGCTTGGCCAGGATGAAACTCATTGTTTCTTCCAAAGTCATATGTATTTTGGGCCTTTTTTTTTACAATTTTTACTACACTTTTTGAATAAATTTACAGAAATACGAGTGTTACTTCCGAAGTCGTATTTTTTTACTACACTTTGAGAAAATATAAGTAGTATTTCTCCTATAGAGAAAGAAACAAGTTCTGTCAATGTATTAGTGATGTTCTTGCTCATGTTGAATATTCTAATTAAAATGTAGTTACTGCTTACCTGATTCCTTGTGTGTTCGGTTTTATCTATCAATATCATCATCAACATCAACATACCCAGTATATTCCCAAACAAGTTGGGGTCTGGGGGGTCAGTTGTACGCAGACCTTACCCTTGTAATTATACAAGGAGGCTGTTTCCATAGCGACCCAGGTGCGTTGCGTCGTTTGATATATTTTTTCTAGAAACTTCACTAATAGAAGAAGCACTAGAGTTTAATTGAGCCATTTTGATCTAGTCCATTATTTGCACGATGCCAGAAGAATTGTCAACATTGACTCTCTTCCAGCTCCATTTGCAATGGACTCCGGTTTTATCTATCAATATCTGTTTTAATAATTTCGAGGTAACTGAAGACATATTCAGCATCTACTATCGCAAAAAATGATTTGATGCTTGAATGCTTCTTTTACGCACTTATTTCTTGTTGAGTAACTCATTTTTATGATGGATTAAAAAAAAAAAAAAAAGTAGAGGAGAAAACTGGACAACACTTGATTAATATAGATGATCAATGGATATCTGTGCACAGAGGAAGTGTGTAATGAACCATTTTCCTCAGTCACTGTTTTCATGCATGTGTCACTACATGGACTGTATATAAAAATTTTCTTTTTGCATATTCAACATTTGGCATGACTAGCACGAGATGCTCAATATATATTTTTTAGCATGTTTATTTGGAGCGGAGCAAAACTCCGGTTGCAATGACACATTTAGGTACTTGCCAAATTTGGCAGGTCACATATTATTGTATCTTTTTCATAAAATCATTATCTACTGGTTCATCAAGTATCCCTAAAATGGCTTTTCATTATTCCAAGCTGGTTTTCATTTCATTGCATATATATCATGCAATCATTATTGAAATTATATATTCATTTTCCTTATAATTACCTTAATATGGTAATAATATCGATTATATATTTATATATAAGCTTGATGTCGCACCTAATAATAAAAAGAATATCTGTAAAACCCTACCTGGAAGATAAGTGCTGTTCTTGTGGAACCTCGGTTGAACCAGCCATTTCCACCCCTCTCCTTTACAGTCGAGCTTTCGCCCCTTTTCTCCATTCCACAAAAAAGACTGTCGGAGATAGCAGCTCATGAACTGCCCTGCTCGAAGGATCGTAGCCCAAACTTACCTAGCTGCAGAGGTCCTCATTTTTGGATGAGAAACGTCAGCTTTTACCTTTGCCTAACGGCTTTCCACGTTCTCAATACTCTTCGAGACTATGTCATAAAACACATTTCATCATTGTATGCAATATTGCAATGTCAGTTCAAAACCCAATGAAAATTTTGTACTTAAAATTCATTGCGCAATTGTATCTGAGTAGCTTGTCCAACCACTTGTTCACACGCACTCTGTTATCTCTTTTCTGACTGCAAAAGGTTTTTTAGGATGCTATTAAGTTGTTATTATGCTTGCCTGCGATTTCCTTCATTTTTTTTTTTATTTTTTTATTTCTTTTGCTGTGACTGTTGTTATTTTACTACTTTTGAAATCGTAACATTTTTCTGTTGCATTATGTTCCAGGTTGACATGAGAGCTCGTATTCGTGGAAACAAGGGGTACTGAGTGTTGGTGGATTCGAACAATGTGAGATGAAAAATAGAAAGAGAGAACAAAAAGGTATTTGTGGAGCAATAATGAGATCCAACATTAAGACCCAAATCAACCACACAATGAAAACTGTGAGGTGATTTTGTGTGATGCTTGCTGGTTTACCTTCCGAATCTTGCAGAAAGTAAGCTAAACAATTTTCGTTGAGCTAAGATGATACTGTTTTCAGTTTGTATATAATCAAGTAATTAACTTCTTTTCTGTGCTAATCAATTTTGATTTGACTGCCGATGTGAACATTGTCAATGAAATTATTGTTGGATTTGGTCGATGATTGAAAAACTGAAAGGGGATAGCGTTATTTCACTTTTTTTAGGATTGAACTTTTTTTTTTTTCCTTCGAAATAAAAAGGAAGAAAATGTTGGGAACAAATCATAGCCTTCTTATTGAGTATTTCACATTCTTTTACAGCAGAACAAAAATGTTGCTTTAATTTACAACTATAGCAAGACTCTTGAATGATTTCATGGTATGGGATATTTTCTACTTAGTAGGGATCTAGCAAATAACTCCGGTTTGAGGTCACCGGTTTTATTTAGATCTCTGAATCGGCTTAGCTTGTTCATCACCTTAATAAGTGTCGGGATGGTTTCCGACGTAAATTATTCAACGATTTAGTTACTTAGAAAGATAATTTGTGAATTTAATTAATAATGATGAACCTGGACCTTTTGGCTAAACTTTCGTCCTTTTTATACAACATAGTTATTTGTTGTCCAAGAATACGTTGTTGTTCAAGAACATATCTAATCTTATTGCCCAAAATTATCTTGCTATCCAAGATTAACTTATATTTTTCCAAGAGTATCTTATCTATTCCAAGTCGGTCAAGTGAATAGTTAAACTCCCTCACCATACTAGCTCGACTAACCATTTCTTCAGTCAAGTAGGTTGTTATGTTCATAACGCGACCTAACGCCTCTGGGAAAACTTACTCGACATGGTTGACCTGCTCGACCTGTCAAACTTCCGACAGGGGCGGATCCATAAATTTATTTTGAGGGGGACAAAATATCTTTTATTAATCATCGATTTAATTTAATGTATATAAAAAATATAAAATTGTATTGTAAAATTATATATAATAAAAGTGCAATATAAACACTTGAAAGAAGCCGGTTCTCGTTTGTTTGTTTTAGTTTTCTATCATCCCGTCTGTGGGATTTCTAGGCCGTTTAAGCGTGTCTTCTCATTTTTTATTTTTGGCCTTTGGTTGTACTTGTATTCGAACGTTTGTTCTCTTTGAGTGGTTTTATAATATCTCTATCGTTCTGAAAAAAAAAAAAAATGACAGCAACAAATTTAGATTGGAAGCTCTTTCAACTCATGGATTATTTTATTAATGATTGACTCAATACTAATAATTTTGATATTTTTTATTTCAACTAAGCATTTCTTATATGGTCTTCTTTTCCAAAATTATTTATATCTTCACATATATACAATACAACTCAATTAGGAAAAGATGTTATACAAAATTGTAAAAAGAGTGTAATTGTAGTTGAATTATTAGAAAGAGTAATAAATATTATTTTAATATAATTATAAAAGTTTATGTGGAAAATGATATACTTATTATATATGTGTGTGTGTATGCTAAAAATTACAAACCTTGGGGGCACAACGGCCCCCTATCACATAACATAGATCTGTCCCTTGTTCAGGGTGAGATCAACATAAGGAGTCGCCGGCTGATCAAGGAGATCGATAGATTTCGTTGGTGTTGCTTCTTGGGCTACGTGCGCTCAGATTTTGTAGGTTCAATGATCATCTGGCCTGGTGTTGATGGGTCATCTCAGAGTTCATGAAAATTTATGTACAACAAAGGCATAACATACATTTTACATGTACAAGGCAATGTACAAGACAATCAACATCATTTTCTTCTTGTACTTTAAATGTAGGGTTAGATTGAAAATATGATCAATCTACTAGTGAGACGATAGGATATTATTGTTAGAGTAATAGGCAAGAGAAACTACATACCAATTTATACTACAACATAAATATGTAATCATGTCTATAACTATTTCAATTTTGATTACCTTTTATACGGTTTTGCTATGTAGCCAACAGTTGGCTCCATAGTGGAGCTAACTTTCTATATACAATAAGTAAACTTACCATATTCTCGGATTACTTAAATAACAATAATATAATTTTATTAATATGAGAGGTTTATATATTGTATATAGAAGGTTGGTTCCACTATGGAGCCAACTGTTGGCTTCATAGCAAAACCGACTTTTTATATATTATAAATAAATAATCCTCCCTATATATAATTCCAGAATGCGCTGAGCCTACGTGGCTGCTTCTGGTGCTTCGGAATCCTATTTGGCGAAGAATCATGCTTCATAATTAGGTTTGGATAAATAATATTAATATATTAATAATTAATAATCTAGGTTCGGGTATTCCATATATATTATTTAGCTAATTTAGGTATTTTAATATCACTTTTACTAATATAACCCTTTAATTTTAATCCTATTTGGCGAAGAATCATGCTTCGTAATTAGGTTTGGATAAATAATATTGATATATTAGTAATTAATAATCTAGGTTCGGGCATTCCATATATATTATTTAGCTAATTTAGGTATTTTAATATCACTTTTACTAATATAATCCTTTAATTCTTGGTAATTTTACATAGTGAGGCACTAAGTGACTAATATATCCCTGAATTTTAATTTGTTTCCTTCAATAAGCTATTGAATTATAAATGTATTTTAAAAGTTGATAACTTTTGTATTTCTTATCGGTTTTACATATATAATATATCAAATTAATCATCTTTTGATGATCTTCGATTTGACATCCATATTGTATATATATGAAATAAATAAATTATATTTATCTTTATAATAATAAAAAATAATAATATTTATTGAAATTCATTAGAAAAATAAAATTATTTTTCAATTGATATATTTATATGTAATGTAGTTATATATTGTAAATTAAAAAAAAGTTAGTATAATATAACACAAGTAAATTGCACAAATAAAAAGTGTCATAATAAATATATAATAATATATATATTCTTATAAAAGGTATTTAAATTTTCAAACTACTTTTCTCATAAATTTTAGATTTTAAGAAAAAAATTAGCAAGCACCGTGTAATACACGGGTATTGTACTAGTTCTACGTTACTCTAGAAACAAAAAAGAAAAAAAAAAAAAGATTTTACTGTTATGAAATACGGGGAATATAAAGAACACAATGTATAGAAACCGGAACAAAATATAAGCAGCTTTCTTTTCACTCTTCAGTTGTATTCGTACACCAAGTGCTATGCCTATATTGCCTTTTATAGGCAAAATTGGGCACACAAATCAATACATTTAATATAACAAATCAAAAGATAATATTTATATAATAGTGGTAGATCAACTTATTCATTATACTCCCCCTTGGAGTTACCACTATTAAATGTGCGTTTATGCTG